AAATAAATGCTCATAATAAAATAATACTGATACTTTTACTACTAGTAGTAAAAATAATAATGTCCATATTTTTATAGACTTTCATATAAGGAAGACAATAGTAATAGATATTTAACTAAATAAACAGACTTTTAAAACAAACAGAGCGAGTTAAAGTTTCTAACATAAGCAGGCAAATTGATTTCATAGACAAAAAAACAAAAAATTAGAGTTAAAAAAAGGTTAGTACAAAGTTTCGAAATGTATAAAAAGCCAAAAACAAAATCAAAGTGACTTTTTCGAATGTATAAAAAACATTATTAGCATTGATGATGAGTTTTGTCGGTGGGTTTTTGTGTTATGTTTTTAGAAATATGTACATTAAATTGTAGTGTGAAAATGCTACACAACTTTCTAACATGGACAAATTTAAACTTTAAACTTTTATGGGATTCGTGCATGAATATCGTCAATGTAATTTATTTTTAAAATGTTATCCTATTAGCATATCTTAAATGTATGGATACGCAACTATTACTATCACGTTTATAGTAGTCACTACATGAACGAGATAGTAACAACGATAGTGGATTAGGTGCACGTTACAAGTTCGAGACCATGTGACCAGGATCATCTATACTCAAATAGAATGACATGTTTTTTGACCGACACTAACTTTTTCACAGATTGAGGAAAAAACTCCAGATTTAGACAAAGAAATATATTACGATGACAGTAAAGCAAAGGAGCGCGATGCGTATATGAGATTGATGGTCAATGTGATGAAACACTTCAGTGATAACAGGACTGATGTTGCAAATGGCATGAAGGAAGTGTTTGGCTTTGAAAAAAATCTTGCTCAGGTTTTTACGTTTGGTATTACAAATTTCAACTAATTTTTCAATAATTTTGTTTCATATTGAAACAGATAACAACAGAATATCACAAAATTCTTCAGCAGCCTTTCAAATATATAAAACATCAACATTTTGATGATATATCGACTGAAGTAAATTCCGTTTTTAATTTATTATGGAAGAATCAGTCTGATTTATTCAATAAATAGAAACTTCAATTATATTTAATGTTGCCAACAAAACGTCTTGCAGTTCAATTGGAAATTATATTTAGGAAACATTGCGCCAAATTATTTCAAGAATGATTCTGTTGTTGGAACTTTTTCAATGGATTATTTTTCAAAAATGGCGGATATTGTTCATAGAACTTCCAAAAGGTTTTTCAATTTAATTTTAATTGGTTGCAAATTTGATAATAATATTGTTGCATTCTTTATGTATCATTCAGAGCTATCTGCGACGAACACTGTCTACGTGAAACCGCGCATTTTGCACATTGTACATGATAGGCGGGGTTGCTTGCATTAGAACCCAGTCACTGCAATGCAAAAACAAACACACTTAGCCGTTACGCCATTAAAATATCATCTAAATTATAGTGTACATAAAATTCGCTGAGAAATTTTACAAATATGATATGTGGTGAGGATTAGAATTTATGTCTGCGTCAAAACTTATGGCATGCTAACTATTAATATATAACAAGTCGTATAATAACACTTATAATTGTTGAAACAACATTAAAAGTGAAATAACGTGTTAAAATAAAATGTTGTAATTATTAAAGCTGGAGGAAGTTCATTTAAATATTAGAACGAGACATATTTTGGTTCATTTGAAACATAAAAATTTATCTTAACTAGCAGTGTTAGAATAAATTTACAAAATAAAAACAACAAAATGTGTTCGTATCAGCATGATTTCTTTCAAATCAATGAGTGACACTGTAACCATGGTTTTGACTAAAAAATAATGTTATTTTTTTTTTATTTTCCTACAGAACCTTGGCCAATTTTGTCATTTGGAAGTTAATAAATAAATTAGGCAATCATCTTTTTTTCCCTGAAAGAATAGCAGATGAATTCGATGCTTTCTTTAAAATAATTTTGGTAAAAATTTCAGAATTATATTTTCTGACCAAAATTTTTTGAAAAATTTAATTTTTCAATAATTTCATTCTATTTCAACATTTATAAATATTTGGTTTTATTAACGCTCCAAGGGCTTGAACAAACCGAAGCCACTGGAACACCAGTGTGTCGATCAAACAGTGGAGTTGTTTGATCTCGTCGCCAGCAGGTTGTATGTGGACAACTTTTTTGACAGACAAAGTAAACTGCTGGTTCGTTAAATTATTCCACTCTATGAGACCATAATAACCATGCATGTTAACAATAACAGGTGACAAAAATGTTTGCAAATTTTAAATACGAATATGTTGAGTTTCTCAAAAAAAGCGATTGGATGGATGAATCCACCCGAGATGAAGCTATCGAAAAAGTACTTTTATACATGATGATAAACAATTTTAAAACCAGCCATGACTGAGATGTTTTTTCAGGTGAGAAGAATGAAAGCAAAAATTGGTTATCCTAATGAAATTTTCAACAACACCAATCTTGAATCAAGTTTTAAAGAGGTAAGTACACAAATTTTTGAATTGATAACTGCCAATAAATATTAAGGACTTCAACTTTATCCTCAATTTTCTCAATGTTTTACTTGCTCATTATCCTGTTAACTTTTTTTTACTGAGAATTAAATTTTCTGTCATTTCTTAGTCGAATAACTTTGTAACACTTTAAAAACATGTGTTAGTTTCAAACTAACATAACATAACACATTATAACATAATATAACATCACATCATAACCTAATATAACATAACATAGCATTGTACAGCATAGCATAACATAGCATAACATAATATAGCATAGTAGAAGTTAAATTGACTCAAAAATAATCATCTGTTTAGAGCCACTACAGTTTGTATTTTAATTTGGCCAATTTGCTTTTAATATAATTTGTAGATTCTGCTGACACTGCATCATTATTTAGCCGTTCCTTTGATTAACAACTCTGTTGCTGAAGATGTTACATTTCATTGGCCCAGTTCTTTCTTTGAAAAGCTTCAGTTAATGACTAGTTGTCTATTTGTTATGAGACAATTTAAAATATCTTTTAGTCAATAAATGTATTTTGTACGTAATAATTTTGTAAGTTTGGATCAAAACTATTTTTGTTCTGCTGGTTTCCAGGGTTGTTAGACCACATTTATCAAGTCTATCTTTGTATCGCAGATGTCTTAGTCCTGTGATCAACTTTGTAAGCCATTCTTTGGACTTTCTCAAGAAATGTTTTGTTTTTTTCAAAATAAGGACGCAAAAACTTCACGCAGTAGTCTAAGTGTGGTCTTAAAAAGAATTTGTATAACCTTGTTATTACAAATTGTTCCCTGCTTGAAATTGTTTTTTTAATGGTCTCAAGCATTTGATTGGCCTTTTTAGAAGCTTTTTGACACTGTCTTGATGGCTTACAATTTCCTAAATCAAGTTCTTTCGTAGCTGACTCAAGTTCATTTCCACATGGTGTCAGTTAAGCTTGTTGATTTTTTTGCCGAGATGCACACAGCACTTTTTCAACGTTTAAGTGCATCTGCCAGTCTAACTATCATTAATATTATTTTTTCAAGTCTTTATCTAACATTTGTAATAAAAGACTCTGGCTGAAATTTAATTTAAATTAGATATTAATTAACAATAAATTATTATTAACGATAATACATAAATTTTTGTTTGATTTTATTGAAGATTATAATGGAAGAAAATAAATACACCAAAAACATGTTGAAGGTTTTGACTTTCACTTCTAAAAAAGAGATTGAATCCCTAACTAAGCCAGCAGACAAATCAAAGTATTTTATTATACTGAACTTGAAAATCTATTTTATATTTAATTTTATTGAATTGAATTTTAAAGTTGTTTAAAGACTGGTAACAAGGCTTGTATATTTCGTAAATTTCATGAATGCTACATTTGGAAGCTATGTAATGGTGTTATAAAAAAATATTGCTCAAGTGCGCTTAACAAGCTTTTACCCATATATATATATATATATATATATATATATATATATATATATATATATATATATGGTGCACTAACGTGTCGATTACCGCAATAGTTTATTTTATGGACTCCCGGCTAGATCCATCAAAATTCTGCAATCGATACAAAACCGTACTGCTTGGATTGCGGCTGGATGTCGATGGTATGATCATGCATGACACACCGATCCTGAGTGATTTGCATTGGTTGCCCATAAATAAAAGAGTTGTTTTTAAAATCTCTGGGCATATTGTATTAAGGCTCTTAGGAACCTATCTAGCTCTAGCCATATCATCATCTATATTCAACTCTGTCATATTAAAACTAATCTCTTCTGGATATATTGTATTTAAATTTGCAATTTGCTTAATTCAAGCATATATTTTCTGCCTTCTACTATTCCTATATACAGATAATCACACCACTTAAACATTAGCAAATCTATGCATTTCGATTTCGGCTCGATAAGTGGAGCAACTCCAATGTTTACATAATATAATATTTTTTTTTAGTAAATAAAATAAAAATATATATATATATATATGTGTATGCATGTATGTATGTAGAGGACCAAGGATTTGGAATGACATTTAAAACATGACTTCTGCAATGAAACACCACTTGCTATATTCAATGAGAATTTAAAATTGTTTTTGTTGAATTTTAATGACTGAAGAAATCTGTAAAAAAGCGATACTGTTTTATTTAATTAAAATGTTTCATTATTTTCTGTTTAAGATACGTTAATTTGTTCACATTTGGGTTCAGGTGGCTGTGCTCTCTTGGAGCTTTATCACAGTCATCCTGGCTACATTTTTTTGGAATAAATATCGTATGTATGTATGTGTCTGTATGTATGTATGTATTTATATATTCATATATAATTGCCTTATTTTGTTGTTTTGACATAGACAATTGTATCATTTAATATCGGAGTCAACCAGAGAAAAGCATCAATTGCTGGGTTGATTCTTACCACAAAAAATAACTTTTTTGTTTTCAAATAAAAGGATGAAGAAACTGATCATATAATTAAATAATTATTCATTTTTTCATAGATGGCCCGTTAATATTCTCACAGTGAATGCCTTTTATTCCTTAGCCACAAATGAAATCAGTTAGTAATTTGTTTTTTTAATTCTAAGACGAACACGCAAACACAACGCTCACATTTTTTTCAGTTATCACGCCAACTTTTTTGCAACCTCCATTCATCAGCAAGACAAGACCAAAGTAACTGAATTTTTTTTTAAATAATTTTTTTTAAGTTGTTGCTGATTTTTTTATATTTTTTTTTTAAATTTTAGGTCGATAAACTATGGTGCACTCGGAAATATCATTGGACATGAGATGAGCCATGCGTTCGATCTTAATGGTTTTAAATCTTGAATTAATAATAATTGATAATTTTTAATTTTTAATTTTAATCGTAAAGCTAAAAGATATGATAAACATGGAAACTTGAGAAACTGGTGGAGTAACGAGAGTGAAGCAATGTATTTGAACAAGACCAATTGTTTGATGCACAAGTACAACAGCTACTACATCAACCAGACTGGAGAATTCGTTAGTTCAAAATCTGTGCAATTGATTTTGACAGTTTCAATTAAATGGTTTTCAAAATTATCAACATCTATCGAGTAAAATATGCATAAATATTATAATTGTGTTACCTGTATGAGCGTGGTTTTTGATAATGTGTTTTGTTTCTTTAACTTGGTTCAATTAAACTTCATTTAACACAGAAATTGACAAATACATTATATTTTGCTTGTGTACGGACAAAATGTTTTGCCACTAGTACTAACATGATTGTTATCAACATGATACGTTAAAGCTATCCAATAATTATGTCATGCTTTTTCCGCCATTTATTAACCTATCCCTGTCATCCTGTCAGGCTCAGCTGACCCCTTCCCGATAATTATGTTACATCCGACCACCCCTCTTCCCATTCTATTATTAATAGATTATACAAAACATCATGACCTAATTACAAAGTTTTAAATCAGAATAAATATGTAACGTTCCAGTTCATGTTCATGGCTAATTCTACAGTTCGGTCCACAAGGTTTACAGATGTTTCTTCATTGTAACTAATGAAATGAGTGTATTATTGCCAACATTGTCTAAATTTAAACCTGTACTCAAACAAATTATGTCTTTTATTTTTTGTTGTTTAATATTAAAATTTAACAGTAAACGTCAGAAACTTGAAAATTGGGATAGACTAAATATGTCTACATTATAAAAACATTGATGAAGATATTCACCATTTAGTGATGGTCCACACATATTACCTAATATTGATGGGTCTCTCCACCAATGTCAAAAGAGCCCGACATCGATAATGTAGGTGACTTTTACACCACAATACTTTTAGAAAGTGAACGTGTCTATCAGAGGCTGATATGGTCCACTATGGACCACATTTTAATTTGAATAGTGAAACATTTCCAGGATGAATACAATCAGATGCCATTAGACGGTTAGACCCATAAAAATTTTATGTAAAATAGCAACAAAGAATACTATAAACACTGAGTGATTGTAAAATACTAGAAAAACTTATCAACTACATCCAGAAATTCTTCATCAATCTATTCAGCATCTTCCATGTTATTGTCATAGGTTATTATTGCCATCCTCTCTCTCTGTCTTCTAGCAGCTAATCTAACTAGTCTTGTACGTTGTATGGTCTGTTCTATGCCACATGTTTGCGTATGAGCGTTCAAGCTGGCCAGTGAAGCATAATACAATCCAAACTTCTTGCAGATTAAAAATGCTTCCTTACACCAATAACTTAATTTTGACCAAAATGACAGCAGGTTGGCAGTATTCTTCCTCTTCAAATTTCCTAATTCACACAATATTTCTGAACTAAGTCAGTCACATTATCTTTAGCTCTCACGCCACACCAAAACGCATTTGTAATCTGACTGCAGAGACTGTGCACTTTTGTTTGGATGAGTCAACTTAAATGCCTCATACAAATCAAAATATAACTTTCGTATATCAACCACTTTGTTTTTTTGTTTATACTTCATGCATAGAATATCTAAAATATCTAAAACTGAAATGGTAGCTGCATTGCTCTGCCTAAATATCGAACATTACGAGACCTGGAATGTTGGAACGCATCGGAACTTCGGCAGCAGCTTAAAGACAGTGTCACGCTGGACGAAGCCCCTCTCCTTCTCCTCAGCGTGACATAATTTTTGAATGGCTCCTTTTATGAAAAATTTCATAAAATACATATTACTAATTCGTGCAGTTACAAATTATTATCATCTATATTTAAAATTCTGTTGAAATAATATTTTTTACTAGCAGATATTTTTATTTTTAATTTGCTTTTAATAAGCATGGTTTTTGCTTTTTTCTCTGGTTCCAACTTGTAATCAGTTTTTTGAAAACTTCCATTTATATATTATTATATATTATTATTGTATTTCCAAATTTTTAACAGATCTAATTAAATTAAAGTTAATTGAATGAGTAAATAAATAAAACTAGTTATTAAATAACTATAGTGAAATTTTTTTTAAATATTTACAAAAATTTGCAGCGAGTAACTTGCGGAATATGTGAAAAAAATTTTTTTAATTACTTTTATTTATAATACTTTTTATTTATTTGGTTTGGGTTTTGAAAAATTTTTTAACTTCTTCACTTGTGAACACAATATCTTTAGCATTTGATTGTATCTTGTTTTCATTTCCATTTCCTCGCGTCTCATCGTAAATCCATCTAGAAAAATTGGAGGATAATGTCGTTTGAAGTTTTTATTCTTTTTTATAATTGGTTTTTTAAACGTTCGTCCTCTTTTTAAATTTTTTTTCAATTTTTTTTATAGTTGGACGGTAAGAGGACACAAGTGGAAAACACGGCAGATGATTTGGGATTGAAAGTAGCTTATCAAGTAGTACCTATTCGTTTGTTTCGTTCAATGAACACTCAATTAAACTTTTAAAAATTCCTGTTCAACTATATTTAATATTATAATTTTGTAATATTTAACATCAATATAAATATATAAATTTAACGACAGCAAAGTATTTTTATTATTCAATTTTATTCAAACAACATTAGTTCCACATCAATATTATATAGATCAACATCTTCTCAGTTGTACAAATGACTTCAGAGATCTTGGTGTGATAGTGGACAGCAAATTCAACTTTAATGCGCATATCAACAACATCACTCACAAGGCTTCGCCTCTAATCGTCAAATGTTTCACATCTAAGAGTAAGGATCTACTTGTGAAGGCTTTTTGCAGTTATGTACGTCCTCTACTTGAATACTGCTCACCGCTATGGAATCCGCACTACAAATATCAAATAACCAAGATTGAAAATGTTCAGAGAAGATTTACCAAATTCATTCCGTCAATTCGTCATCTTCCATATTTGTCTAGATTGCAAGCGGTAGGACTACAAACACTTGAGCGGCGTAGATTGGTTCTTGATTTGTGCTTGCTGTACAAAATACTACACAACCTCATCAACACAGATTTAAATGGTTTTTTCATCCCTTCACATTATCTGTCAACTCGCGGTCACCCATGTCGACTGCAAGATTTCAACGCTGGAGACAACGTAACAAAATATTTCTACTGTATCCGGATTATCCGAGTGTGGAATGCATTGCCGGCAGACGTAGTGTCTTCAACTTCACTTGCTGTCTTCAAAAATCATTTACTCACTATTGATTTAAATAGATTTTTAATTATAATGTGATTTATTGTTAAATTACGTTTAACATTTACATATATGCCTAACTAACTCTGTTGGCTAAAACTGTCATATCATTTACCAATTATAATATCAGTAGTACATTTTTTAAGTTATGAAGTTATCTTCTATGTTTGACTATAAACTTTTTCATTATTCATTACGATCATTGTGCATCGATCTCTGTTATTATCCTATGTTTTTACTTAATTCATAGACGTACGATTCATTTTTCGAACATTTTTTTTCATTTTTCTTACCGGATAAGTGGTTTTTTTAGCCCTCTGGTTTTGTGAATAAATAAATAAATAAAATAAATTAGAAAAAATAAATACTCGGGTATACAGCTCCTTTCCCAAACTGAAATAGAATATCTTGTTACACATTTGGGTAGTGGAAAATAAAATACTTTGAAAAATTAAATAAAATAAAGTTTATAGAGTAAAAAATTTCATGTCAAAGTGTTTTGAATTGTTCAAATAATTTTGAAAGTCGCAAGAGTTAGTGCATCAACATCATCTGCAAAACGTTCCAGGCGCAAACAACAAGATTAGAAAAAAGTGCTTTTTACATTCTCTTCTTGCAAAATGACTGAGATTATGATTTCTTATGATTTCAAATGTTGACATCTGATTGATGATTCAATACTGGGCAAACCGTTGTGTCCACCAGATTGTGAACAATCCGATAAACTAGAATCATGTCTCTTTTAGTCCAACGAAACCAACAAAATGGTATTTAGAATTTTATTAATCTAAGTTTGTAGTCAAAATTTTAAAAAATGTTTGCGATTTTTGGTTTTCCATTCTAAACTTTTTCATTTTTTTTTATTAGTCCTTTTCTATATGGATACCAAACTTGGACACAAAACTTCAGCGAAACCAAATTAAAGTTTTGTAGAAGTAGACAGATGCCTGACTAGAATTCCAAACATTTAATTTCCTTTTTTATTTCTGACTTAATATAAATTTAAGTTGTTACTGAGATTGTTACTATGATCACACCGAGATCAGAAATACATTCGTACCAACTAGTGTTGCCTAATTTAACAAAGTATCAAGTAAAATGAATTTTTAATTACTGCAATTTTATATAAACACTCCAGATTTTTCTAGGTACTGATATTGATGTTGAAAAATTTCTTTTAAAATTTTTTGTAATTTGAAGAGAATATCAAAAAATTCGCTAGCAACCATAGATTTTTGCGGATTTTACTAAGCAGAAACGGCGTCAGTTTCTAAAAATCAATATTCATTGTTTACACCGATGCAGGTATAGAGTTTTCTCGTCAGATCAAGCAAGTGGTGGGCAATCTAGTGATTGTCTATATCTTATTTGCTTGGAGAAAAACACAAAACACAAATGAAACAAGCTTAAGTGCACATACATTAAATTCTCCTACACTTGAACACATTGCACTCGATCTTGGTCATCTGGTCTCAAATATTTTTGTTTCCGACTTTTCTTGGTTTGCATACATATATTTTGATGGGCGGCAAAATGGTGTAATGAATAAGAAGCATAAATAAAAAATTAAATTTCAAAATAATGCGTTGTGATACAATGTGATGTTATAGAATGCAATCTGTTACGTACAGGTTTACCGAAAAGTGACCAATAAATGTAGTTTTGCCAACGCAATGTTACCTGGTCTTCCGTATACTCCAGATCAGTTGTTTTTCCTTAGTTTTGCCCAGGTTCACTTTTCTTATATATAAATTATATACTGTTAGTTTAATCTTATGACCATTCTTAAAACAAAGTCTTTTTGTGCAAAAATCACGGATGAAGGACAAGAGAAGTTTAAGCAATATTTGCATTCTCCTTATGAAGCCAGGTTGGGGTAATTATTGGTTAATGATCTTTTATCAAATTTATTACTATAATTTTTCAGAGTTATGGTTACATTGCAAAATTTTGATGAGTTTTCCCAAGCATTCAATTGTCCAGAATCAAGTCCAATGAATCCTACTCATAAATGCGTTTTTTAGCAGCATAAATAGTTATAAAACGTTCACCATTTGAACTTTCAAATAAAACAAAATTTTTTTAGTTAACTATTTGAACATTGATATGAATTGCTTAAAATTATCAATTTAGGATTTTCAATAGACAGCTCCAGAATTTAAATGAAAAATAATGAATTTATTAGTCTTTAGATGTGTATTGGTTTTTAAAAACCTAATTTAAACAAATATTTTCCGAGCTCATTTAACAATCCGCTGGATTAGAAATTTTTTTAGTTAAATAATTAAATTATTTAAATTGAATTTGGAAATTTACATTAGTGAAAAAATGTTTACAATGGATTGTATAACACGACACTTAATGCTAACCAATTTAAAATTTTCAATAATAAAAAGTTTGGTAATTTTTTAAAACATACAGTTTATTTAAAATATATATGCGTTATTTAAATTTTTCCTCCATATCCTTGACGTGCTGTTTTTTTTTAAAATTAACTACCTGACGACGAAAAGATGCATTCGAAACGTCGCGTAACTTTAATTTTAATTTAATAAAATATATAAAATATGAATAAGTGTTCTAATTTTTAATTATAATGTAAAATTTAAAAAAAAATTAAAAAAAATCATCATCTCCCCTCTTCTAAGAAAAATTCGTGTAAGTTTGTTAGATGGATGTTCTTCAAAATTTAAATTCGTGTAAGACTGGCAAAATGCTGGTTGAATATTTTTTTATATTAAAAATATTGTTATAACTGTCCCAGTCGACGACGAGTTTGTTTTTGTTAAGTCTTATAAGACGTGATAACTGAACGCTAGTTGAAGCAGCAAGAGCCATGAGACTGACACATGAAGAACTGCCTCAGGCCCTTTGGGCTGAATTAGTTAATACTGCTGCTTACATACTCAACCGAACTGGACCATCTTCTGTAGAAAAAAAGATCACCATATGAATTTTGGTTCAACAAGAAGTCTAAGATAACACATCTACGAACTACGAATCATTGGTAGCAGAGCCTATGTTCATATTCCTATGCAGAAACGACGAAAAATGGATACTAAAGCTGTAAAGGGTACCCTCGTTGGATATGAAGGTGACGATGGCTACTGAATTTTTGTTCAACCAAGAAATAAAATGCTTCGATCAAGAGATGTTATTTTTGATAAGAAGGTTGTCAAACCAAATTCAGTGATTTTGCAAGAAGAAAGCTGTTCAGATGATACCGTTTCGATTTTTTCGATTTTCGATTTTACCCCAACTGATATAAAATATCAGTTGGGGTATTTTATAGTACTTCCAAAAAAATTCCCAGTAGTTGTGTGGATGGCATTTCGAGAAACAGTGGTATTTGTCGATCTTAGTCTTTTGGGTTTTCATCAACAATTTTGATCAAATATTCAATTAGTGTTAAGTTGAAACGTTTCCCCATCCCATTTAACTGAGGGTAGAGAAGAATTGTTTTTGATACCTCTTTATACCAAGTAATTGACACTGCTCACCAAACAGTTGCGACTAAAGTTTCAAACTTGGTATGAATGCAGCTCCATGGGAACATCATACCGACTGATCCAGTTCATTACAATCTTTTTAGCGCTGCACAGGTTTCCTGATTTGGTATCGGATACACATCCGGTTACTTGCTAAAATGACTATATCCTACCGCTACAACCAGAATGCAACGGTTTCCATTATTTGATTCATAAAATGGTCCCGCAATGCCAATGAAAATTCTTTCGATGGGCACACCAACATTATAAATTTGCATTTTCCCACGTAACCTCCTTTTGAAAACTTTCACTGCTGAGCACGTACTACATTTTCGACACAAACTTTCAACATCTTCTCAAGCGTATTTTGTCAAGCGTTTTTATAATTCCAAGATGTTCTCCTGGTGAGCCACCATGCATTTTTTTAAAAAGTTCTGCAATTGTATTCCAAGGTACCACAATCTGCATGCGATGTTTCGATCCATCTGTTGATTCCCATTTGCACTTTTTAACGTTCAGCTTTAAGTTCGCTGCTCGATGTCTCAAAAATGTATCTCGTAAATTCTCGACATGCTGGTTGAACGACTTTTCTAAAAATATCTTCTAAGTAGACAAGACATGTTTTCCAGGTGAGACCTCGTAATATACATTTCAATAGTCGCTCAAACGTAGCTGGAGCCATGCACAGTCCAAACGGCATTACAGTGGATTGGCACGAGCCTGGTCCGATCGAAATTGCCGTTTTTTCACGGTCGTTTTTCTACATCTCTACTTGCCAATACCCGCCTTTCAAGTCAAGCGTGGAGGACCAGTGTGAACCGGACAACGTGTCCATGTTTTCATCTATTTTCGGTAGTGGATAACTATTTTTTTAACCTGATTAATCAATAAATCAACTTTAATAAAATTTGCTGATAAAAGTTAATGTTCACAAACTATCAAATTAATGTTCAGAAACTATCGCTTTCACTAACATTTATCGCAAATACAATAAAAATACAACGCAGAGTCAAATATCAAATATTGCTTTCGACACAATCAATTGCTTTCTGATATCAACTAATCAGCAACAACCATGTCTCGCATGTCTTTATATACCCGCCTTGTCGACGCTTTTCGGACATCCTGGATATCTCGCCGTCAAAAGTTTCTAGTTCCTCCTCGAATTCTATGCGTCCGTAGCGACACTTGCTCTTCTAGCGAATATATTTGTGAAGGTTATAACTATATATTTTTTTTCTTTTCTGAATTAATTGATTGTGATTGGTTTTGTTTTGCTCGATTTATATAATGGTACTCTGCCTTTTTCTCTACATATTAAATCGCGTTTAGTGGTTTCGTTTACGTTTTTTTATAAGTTTTTGTCGTTTAGTTTTTGTATGCATGTCAATATTACTGCATAAGTGCAGCAAATAAACAAAATCGTGCAGCAAATAAACAAAATCAACGACATCAGTAACGTTAAGGTTTAGAAACATTCGACAGTTCGGTCAAAGCAATGAAATTTCTTAGATCAAACATTTACTTGTGAACAAAAAAAACTATTCTAAAACAAGGGTTGACAATTGTTTGAAAAAATAGATAACTGTAATCTAGATTGAAATGCAAAAAAAGGTAAGAGAAATTTTTACACAAAATTCAATATAGAAACATTTATATGTAGATATTAAATTTTGATTAAAGGAATGTTATTATGAAGCTATATTTATTCAAACGCTTTGTTTTCAAAAACTTTCACGACGACGACTTTCTTGTTTGATTTAGTTTTTGTTGCCAGGTCGGCCAACTCCACAACAACATCACATTTTGCTCGATGCAAGCTCTCGTTTAAATTCTTCCGAAGAAATGTTCTATCACATGAGGCATCGTTATTCTGATTTTTCAGCTTGTTAAAATTGAATAAAAATTTGTGCATTGAAAACTTCCAACTCGTTGAAGCATTTGATTTAGAAGTAATCTGGTTTCTACGAAGTTTGTCGCCATGATTGTAGCAGTCATAGTTTGTCGGCTTGATGATAGTGTTGATAAAGGATGATCTGTTGTTATTCATATCAACGTGGTGGCGTGTTGGATTTGTCGTCGGGTGTGGAGGTAGTAGAGGAGAATTTAATGCTTCTTCAATGTTTTGAGAGTTAAATTTGTTGTTAGCGTCTATGTTGAATGTGTTGTATGTCTTGAATGGAACGTCTTGCAATTTAATATTGTTTTGGCGATTTACATAACTTACACAATTGTCGATGCAGTTGCTATTTTGAAGTTTTGACAGAGTTGTAGCGGGGTTAAATGTGTTCATGTTCACATCAGAGGTTTCGCAAAATGATATTTTTTTGTTAATTGGTGTTAAGCTCTTTTTTAAATTTCGATTAGTAACTTCATTGTTTCTGCAGCTGTTGTTGTTTGTTGTTGCAGCTGTAACATGTGTGTTTTTGTTAGGGGAGTCGCTATAAGTCGCTTCAAGAGATGTTTTGTCGGGGTTTTCGGATATCTTTAGCATTTCTAAACTTATAAAACTTTTATTTTCATTTCTGTTGATTGAGAATTCACGATTATTTTTATAAAAGGGAAAAGTTGATTTTCTATTTATTTTGTTTCTTTCAAAGTTATGTCTGGTGGCAAGATGGCTTGTTAGTTGCCTTATCCACTTTTTCAACTTGTCAACTTTGTTGCTCCTCGTCGATTCAGAATTGCCGGCAACGTTTTCATAAAAATGTTGACCACTCACAACGTCAGCCTCCCAAGGCATCGGCGCCCTCACCATCATCTCCAACTTATTCAACATCTCGCGCGTCTTTCTTGTTGTTCTGTATATGGAGGGCCACGATGGAATGACTTCGCATGGAGAGTAATGAGAAGATACGTCATCGTCACGTGAACCTGACGTCATCGAGTTAGCGAGTTTGCTTCGGATTGACAGGGGAGTGACATCATCACGTTCTTCATCACTGTTCCTGTTTAATATGTAATTGTTAGCAGGTATGCTCTTCATGTGCAAGTTACTTGATTTTGTATTGTTGTCATTCATAACGTCGGCTGTTCTGCTGAAGACATCTTGATTGCAACTTTTAAAAACAGCATGTTTTCTGTTGTTTTTCATCTTAGAGTTGTATGATTCATTATTGTTGACGTTATTTAACTTGGCAAAATTTTTTCGAATTTTTTTGTAACATTTTTTGTTGCTGTTCAAATTAAGACGGAGCTCATGTTGAATGAATCTGTTGTGGATGTTTGAATATACTGGTCGCATGGATTCACCCACGTCTTCAGCAGGGGGGTGCTTTCCAGCAACAATTTCATTATCACCGTCATCGTCTTCATCAATGTCAACGTCATAACAGTCGGAGTCATCATCAACATCATCTTCTTCGCAAGCACTATCTACTTTCATGCAGCTACGAACATCCAAGACATCAATATTATCATTGAGAAAATCTTCTTTGTAACCATCATCAATTACGTTTTCTTTATTTTTTCCATCTTCGTCGTTGTTATCGTTGTATTCTTTTTTATTTTTATCCTCTTCTTTTTCCTCTTCTTCTTCCTCCTCGTCTTCATCGTCTTCATCTTTTCCATTTTCTATCTCATTTTTATCATCTTCAATTTCTTTCTCAACATTCATCTCTCTTTGTTTCAATGTATGATTGGTAATGTTTGTATGCACGTTAGGTGTTTGAGACAGGTTGTTTGTGAATGGTGACGTTGTTGATGACGAGAAATATCCTGGTATAGGTGAGTGAGATGGCGACAATGATTGTGGTGACGCGATGAGTGTAAATGAAGGCAATGTCAGTGATGAAGATGACGACAATGATGAAAATGATAACAAGTTTGGTCTTGATATGCGAAGAGTTTGTTCATCTGGATGGCAAACGTTGTTAATATAGATAGACTTGATGTCGACACCATAACTGATGTTATTGTTGTTGTTAATATTGTTGAGTTCGTTCTCAATAATTTCATTGGAGTAGCAAGTGTGATTCGAGCATTTTTCGTCCACATCATCATCGCCAGTCGATTCTCTAAAGTTTAGTTGGCTGCATGTATAGAAATCATTGCTTGCACGATAGCTCTCTTCATTCATGTGTCGCTCCTTGCACAATAATATTTCATTTTCTGTTGTCGATGCATCTCGTTGGAAGTTATTGAAGTTCAAATTATAAAAAATTTGTTTTGAAACCGTTCTATTATTATTATTTAAAGAATCAATTTTGCTGTTTTCATAATGCTTGTTATTATTATGTTTCATATTTTTAAACAAAATTTCTTCTCCCCTTGCTTCTTGCTTGTCTTCATTTCTTTCATCTACCTCCTCAGTATTTTTTGAATTGCGTTCGTGCTTGTCATCTACCATTGCGTTTATGTAAAATTTGCGCAAATGTTCCGTTTTGGGAGTGCATGACTGCATGTACATCACATCAACCCGCTTCAAATGCATGTCCACTCCGACAAAATTTTGCTCTTTAAATGAACTCATTGTAATAGTCGAGGCTTCTTTGTCTACTTTGAAACAATCTGTAATTAAATTTTTTTATTATTCTTTAAAAAATCAAAATCGGACAAACGCAGAAACTGTTACAGTATTCAAAACAACAGTATAAAATGGTAACCTAAAATAAATAACGAAAAAAAATGTTTAAACATGAAAAGTATGGAAAATAAAAAAGTAATGGTTCAAAAGAGAATTAATCAATATAAGTAATTAATAGACTAGTGAAAAAAAAACTTATTAAGTAAGTTAAGTGATCGGTGAGAAAAAAGAATAGACAAGATTGAGTGAATGACAAAGTTTTATCGAGTACTGATATATTTAGGATATCCTGTAATGGAGGTTCTATCCTGATAAAACATGCGTTCGTGCAGATGTGAGCGATAATTAGCAACGAGACAAAACAGAATTATAAAGATTAAAAGTAATTTAATTATAAAATTAAAATGGGCTAAAAATAAAATGGTTAATTAAATTAAAATTATATAGTTTGTTTGCCGATAGCTAAACACGTGCAATATTGCAAACCAAGGTGTTTTTTAGGTAATTTTCAAAAACACATAGAAGGTGTTGTACTTGTTATGATATCGAGTGGTGGTCTGTGTTGGGCGTAACATATTATGACAACAGTCAAAATGTATGTTTGTAATAATAGGATATAGTTTATTAAATCGAGTAACAATATTGTGATACATATTTTGAGGAAAGTGATTGATATATTAATATTATTGAATTTTTTAAGTATTTCTCAAAAGATCGATATATACGTTCTTGTACTGGCCAGCCGTACCTGCATTACTGTCAACACCTAATAAGTTTTTGGCTAGATGCTTTTCTTTTCTTATGGGGAACATTAATAGCCCGAGTTAAAACACAAACTTAGAGCAATTACTGTGTCAATAGACAAAATTGCAAATTAAAGTGTTTGGAAGTAATTTAAAGAAACACATTTTGGTCGATAGTGACGTAGGCTGTTATTCTGCTGCGTAATGGAAAAAGTGTGTCGACTTGAATCTACTTTTGTTTGCAACATTGTCTACTGAGATAGTAATTGCGCTAACCTCCAAAACACTTTCCAAAACGAAACCTCCACCGGAAAAAGCTGATGGTTACTGACAGGTGGTCTGGATCGGTGTCATCCCCACAGCTTTATTGAACCTCCAAAATCATTAACGGCAAATGTCTGCTGCTATTAACTAGACAAACTGATCAGAAATTTTGTAAATAAACAGCCAAAATTATTATATTCGATGACTCAAATCCTCCTCAGATAAATGCCGCACGAATGACAGTGTCGAAGCTACAAGAACTGATGTTAAAAACACTCTTCTCCATAACTCATTCTACTTGTCAGACTGCTCCACTATCATATTTTTTCTATATTTAAACAATAATTAAATATAGAAAGAAAAAACTGAAAAACTGAAAAAAATCAATTCTACCCAAGCTGTCAAAATAGACAGCCTGGAAACTGGGCGGAATTGACAAAAGTTTGACAAAAGTTAGTTCATCGACTCCCGTAATCCAGACTTTTTATTAAGAGAGATAAATGAGTGACCTTCAAAATATCATGACTTTATCAGCCATCTTTATCATTAAGGAATTAAAAATAAATTGTTTTTATTGAAAAAAAATAATCGATATCATTAATTTTCATGCTATATATAAATATAAGCACGCATATTTTGAGGCGTCCTGCTAACATTTATTACGTTATTGCCCTAATGGTGTCGTTTTAATTATCATCCTAATCATCAACGTCATTATTTTTCCATGTCTTTGACGAACACTCTAATCATCGGTTTTATCTTTTTCTCATTACATCTGTTAGCAGAGCAAGAATAATCGTCATCACCAGACCTTATCTTTATCATCTTCCTCGCTGCAAGCATCACAGCCGTCATCATCATGTTTGTAATTTTCCTTACATAAAATCATCTATTTTATCACTCCATCATCGCCTTCGTGAACTTAATCATCATCTACACTGTCATCATCAGAATCAGCATCATCATCATCAACGCCACTACTCTTTTTATCAACATCTTCATCGTTACCTTCGTCGTCATCATCACCAACATCATCATCATAAGCGCCATCAACAGCATCCTCATCATTGTTGTGATCATTTCCACTATCATCCCACTCACGAAACTTTATATTAGAAAATTATTAGGCAGGCCGTTTGTTTTATGTTTGGAATTATCGTGCGATCATTTATTAGCCAGATTCCATCTCCAGGCGCTCTAGGTACTTTCTGTATGAGTGGATGGCTGGCTCTGCATTCATTGATGTGGGTTTGTTTGTTTTTGTTTGAATGTGTGTGTTTGTATGTATGTTTGTATGTATGTATGTATGCATGTATGTATGTATGTGTGTATGTGTGTATGTGTGTATGTGTGTATGTATGTATGTCTGTATGTGTGTATGTGTGTATGTATGTATGTTTGTATGTATGTATGTATGTATGTATGTATGTATGTATGTATGTATGTATGTATGTATGTATGTATGTATGTATGTATGTATGTGTATGTATGTATGTATGAACCCGTTTTGATGAACAAGCCATGGTTAGGCATGCAATCGTTTCCGAGTTCAACTTTTAATGTATGTATGTATGTCTGTATGTATGTATGTATGTATGTATGTATGTATGTATGTATGTATGTATGTATGTATGTATGTATGTATGTATGTATGTATGTATGTATGTATGTATGTATGTATGTATGTATCGATAGCTCTGATTCTAAGAAAATGAAAGACCCTGACATAATGCCCCAGCACATTATAGTACGCGAGTGGCAATTCAATAAGAAACCAGAAACAATTGTCGATCAAACAAAAAAAAGATGGATAACAACATGTTGATGATGATGATGACAGCAGTGATTATGAAGAAAAAGACAATTTAAACCCCAAGCAAACTACATGTAAAAGGTATGACAATTTTAAGACGTTGAATGATGAATATAAATTAATAAATAAAGATTTTGATAGCAGTATGTTTTTCAACTTAATGCATTTGAACATAAGAAGTTTGGTCAACAAAACCGATGAATTAGAAAGCTATTTGTCAAACAGTCACATCAAATTCAATGTAGTTGCGATAACAGAAAGCTGGTTAAACGAACGTACTGAAAGTTTGGTTGGCATGGATGAATATAGATATGTAGGCAAAAATCGTCATGACAAACACGGTGGAGGGGTTGGTTTCTATGTCTGTAATGATTCTACCTTTCAAATAAACGATGATTTAAATACCATTGGCTTGCCAAAGTTTGAAATGTTTGCAATAGAGATCATTAACAATTTTAAATCTAAAAATTCAATTGTGATGGTTAGTTATCGACCTCCAATATACGAAATTAAACAATATTTTAAAGAATTAGAACAAGTTTTACAAATAACTAGTAATGAAAATAAATTTGTTTATCTTTTGGGGGATCTAAATATTGACTTATCGCCTGAAGTTAGCAGTATAAATAAAATTCAATTGAACCAACTTGTGACATGTTACAACCTCAAATCCATGATCACAGTTCCTACAAGAATCAGTAATACAAAAAAATCCACTATAGACATTTTTTTACAAATCATCCAGAAAATATTATACAATGTGGAACCATTTTATGCGACCTATCAGACCACATCCCACTTTTTGCTTGCACTAATCAAAAAATAAATAATAAGACAGTTGCTGACGATACATTTTCAAAAGATTCTTATTCAACACACAGAATAAATAATTTAAATGAAGGTTTATGTAATGCCGATTGGACAAGTGTGCTGAGCTGCGATGATGTAGATGTGGCCTTCCAAAATTTCATCGACATCTTTCGGTTACATTATAAAACTTATTGTTCAGTGACCTCTAAAAGACAGGCTCAGAAGATGACAAAAAACAAACCGTGGATAACTAAAGAATTTAAACAAATGTTAAAAAGGAAGAAAATGTTATATAAAAAATATCTAAAGTACACATCGTCAGACAACTTTAGAGCACTCAAATCATGCAGCAAATTATGCAACAAGATCAAGTGCCAGTTGAAAAGACAATATTATTTTAATCTTCTACAACAAAGCAATGGCGACAGCATGAAAACATGGTCAATCATCAATTCTTTAACGAAACGAAATAACAAAAAAACATCAACAATTCAATTAACTTTAAATGATGATCCAATTGATAATCCTGAAACTATCCTCAATAATTATTTCATCAATCTGGCCTCAGATATGCAGCAATCATTTGTAGAAGACACAAGATGGAAAAATTATCTTCAAAATGGGTCAGTAAATTCATTTTTTAGTAACCGTGTTTCATCATTGAAATCATTTCAACCACAAAACTTTTCAAACCCAAGACGTCGTGTGATTACGATGAAATATCAACCAAAATAGTAATATCAACAATAAAATCAACAGCAACAATTCTTGAATATTTAATCAACTTATCATTTGACAAAGGCATCTTTCCTAAGTGCTTCAAGACATCCAAAGTTGTTCCAATTGCAAAAGAAAGAGGTAACTCAGAGGTTAAAATCTTTCGACCTATATCTTTGTTGCCTGTTTTTTCGAAGATTATTGAAAAATTGATGCACAGTCGTTTGCTCAAATTTTTTGAAAAAAATAACATTCTTTCTAATCATCAATTTGGTTTTCGAAAAAACCACTCAACTGAAATGGCAATACTGGAACTGATTCAAAAAATTGGAGTCGCAAGTGAAAAGAAAAATTATGTAATTGGAATATGTCTCGATCTTTCAAAAGCTTTTGATTGTATTGACCATCCGATTTTATTACACAAACTTCATCACTATGGTATAAGAGACTCCAGTTTGACTTGGTTTTGTAGCTACCTTTCATCAAGATATCAATTCGTTACCTGGAACAATAAAAATTCAAGTAAATTGATCAACAAAATAGGCGTTCCGCAGGGCAGCATTTTGGGACCATTGCTATTCATAGTGTTTGTGAACGATCTACCGATGGCCTCTAAACTTTTTAATTATGTTTGTTTTGCTGACGATACAAATGTGTTCAGCAAAGGAAAAGATATTAACATGCTCATCAAATATACAGAAGAAGAAATTAAACATGTTAACTCTTGGTTCTCACTAGATAAACTTACTTTAAATAGTTCTAAAACGCTAATGATAATCTTTGGACCAACTCAATATTTAAACTACAAAGAACCTTATAAAATTAAAATAAATAATATCGATATCTACGAAAATAAAACAGTTAAATTTCTGGGCGTTCATCTAGATCAAAAATTAACGTTCCGTGATCACGTTAATAGTGTTGCAAACAAACTTGCCAAATCAACTGGTCTGATGAACAAGGTGAAATTCTACCTCACAAAAAAAGTGTCTCAATTTGTTGTATCACTCACTTTTTATGCCACACGTGATTTATTGCAACATTGTCTGGGCTGGCACGTCTACTTCAGTGACGGATCCGGTTAAACTTATGATGATAAGGGCCGTCAGGACCATCACCACGTCAACGATGAGGTCTCATACCAAGGAGTTATTTACGACAACCAATAATCTTAATTTTAATCAATTGAATATTTATCGTACTTTGATTTTTGTGTATAAGCAGCTTAACAATCAATTGCCTAATACGTTTGCTAATTATTTTAAACATGCTAACAGTCATAGGATGTCTAATTATTTGCAATCGAATAAATCAAAAACTAACATTTTACATTCGCATGTAATCTGTAAGGGTCCTAGGACCTGGAATAACATTATTAAGAGTGGTTTCCAATATAAGGCGAAATCGGCTACTGATTTTAAAAAAAAGTTAAATCGTTTTTAATAATTAACAATTATTAAAATTATTATCCTTATTAATAATGTAGAGATGTTTGTAAAATCACTGAACATTTAATAAATTATATAAGAAATGTATTTACATCATGAAATTTATGTTCTCTATCTATAAACAATTTCTGTTGATATTTTTAATGCGATTATAATTATCTATAAAACATTATTTTTTAGTTAACTACCTTTTGTTTTATTATCTGTTATTAACATACTAACAACTAACAATATTTGATATTAACCTACTAACAACTAACATACTAACAACTAAAAATATTTGATATTAATCACAAAACTCTGAACATATTTGTCTAGGTGGCTGTGCTAGATGAGCCCATTAGAGGCTCGATCACATTCATCCTGTCTCTTATTTATTATCTTTAATTTTGAGGAGCAAATAAAATTTCGTTTCGTTTCGTTTCGTATGTATATATGTATGTATGTATGTATGTATGTATGTATGTATGTATGTATGTATGTATGTATGTATGTATGTATGTATGTATGTATGTATGTATGTATGTATGTATGTATGTATGTATGTATGTATGTATGTATGTATGTACGTATGTATGTATGTATGTATGTATGTATGTATGTATGTATGTATGTACGTACGTACGTACGTACGTATGTACGTACGTATGTATGTATGTATGTATGTATGTATGTATGTATGTATGTATGTATGTATGTATGTATGTATGTAAAACTCTCAGCAAAATATTGCCAACACATGTAAGATTTATGATGTAAATGATTTTAACTCTGAAATGAAAATAATTAAAAATCAATTTAATCAAAATTTATTCAATATTCTACATATAAACGTAAGAAGTTTGTTGAATAAATTTGATGACATTTATGATTTCTTGCGAGATTTGAATTTTGAGATTGATGTTCTCGCAATTTCTGAAAATTGGCTCAATGACAGCAACGAAAATTTGATTGACATTAACGGATATGTCTTTAAAGGTAAGCACCGAAGAATAAAACACGGTGGAAGAGTCGGCTTTTACATAAAAAACAATTTGGATTACAAAATCCGAGACGACATAACAAGTAAAAAAAATGAATTCGAATTTTTCGTTCTAGAAATAATAAACAGACCTATCACAAAAAATGTTTTAATCATTGTGACATACCGACCACCAACTTATGATGTCAATTCGTTCATCGAATGTTTAGATGATATTTTGCTGGTTGCAAATCATGAAAACAAATTAATAATAGTTGCAGGTGATTTCAACATTGACCTGTCAGAAAGTAACAACAACAACAAGAAGTTCAATTTTTTGCAACTTATGAACAGCTACAGTTTACAACAAACAATAACAATTCCGACAAGAGTAGAATGCAATCGACAATCTATTATTGACAACATCTTCACAAACATTCCTGAAAACATCTTGGTTTCCGGCGTTATTTCTCACTGTCTTTCCGACCACCAGCCAGTTTTTTCATCAATCAATCTTTCAAAAAAAATGTTTATGTTTCCTGAAAAAAGAAATGCTCCATCAGTAAAATTTTCTTATTCAACAAACAGAATCAACAATCTAAATCAACGTCTCAGTCAGGTGAACTGGCAAGTCGTATATGAGAGCGCAAATATTGAAGAGGCATTCCAAACTTTTATAATTATTTTTCAGGAATGTTTTCGTGAACGCTGTCAAGTTACCAATCGAAATACTATTATAAAAACAATAAAAATCAAACCTTGGGTCTCTTCTGAGTTAAAAAATCTCATCACAAAAAGAAATAAAAGTTACAAAAAGTTTCTTTTGATTCCTAATAATAATAATTTAAATAAATTCAAAAGCCTACAAATAACTTGTAATAAACTAAATAAATCTTTAAAAAAAAAATTATTATCATCATCTTTTTGAAAAATATAGAGGAGATAGCAAAAAAACGTGGACTGCTCTGAACGAGTTAAAAAACGGAAAAGACGTAAAACCCGATAGTATACAAAAATTAACAAATGAAGAAGTTGAAATACCTGACCCAGCAAATGCTTTAAATAACTATTTTGTTGAATTAGCACCGAATTTACTGAAGCTCATTCCACGGAATTCTCACTGGAAGAATTACTTCAAGACATTTGTTTCCAACTCGTTTTTTTTAGATACGCAACGGCTGATGAGATCATTGCAACAACAAAATCTTTGAAACAAAAAACATCAAGTGGCTACGATGACATACCAACAAAAATTGTCGTCTCTACGATTCATTCTACTGTGTTTGTTCTAGAATATTTGATAAATCTATCTTTTGAAAAGGGCAAATTTCCAAGCTGTCTCAAAATCGCCAAGGTAATTCCTATTGAAAAAAGTAAAGGAAAAACAGATTTATCAAATTTTCGCCCTATATCACTCTTGCCAGCATTTTCAAAAATACTTGAAAAACTAATGCACCAACGAATGACTAGTTTTTTGCAAAAAAATAATATTTTGTCAATTTCCCAATTTGGTTTCAGAGAGAAATTTTCTACAGAATTAGCAATCGTAGAACTAGTTCGCAAGATCGGCATCAATACTGAATGTAAGAGATTTGTCATTGGAACGTGCTTAGATCTGTCGAAAGCATTTGATTGCATCAACCACGACATCATGCTCAACAAGTTGGAAAAGTACGGTTTTAGAAATACATCACTGCATTGGTTTCGTAGCTACTTAACAGAAAGAAAACAATTTGTCTATGTCAACGATGAAATTTCCAGTCTGCTCGGAAACAACAACGGTGTGCCTCAAGGAAGCATCCTAGGTCCTTTGTTATTTATATTGTACATAAACGATCTTCCAGCTGCATCACCGTTTTTTGACTACGTAATTTATGCTTATGACACGAATGTTTTTAGCAGCGGCAGATCAATGAAAGAACTTATTGAGGAAACAAACAGAGAGTTAAAAAACATAATCTCTTGGTTCGAAGCCAATAAACTTTCAATTAACAGTTCAAAAAGCCAAATGATGGTTTTTGGACACGTACAATATCTAAATTACAAGGAGCCGTATAAAATCATCCTAGGTAACAACACAATTGTTGAAACAAAGTGTTTAAAACTTCTAGGCATGCTGCTCGATCAGAAACTCTCCTTCAAACATCACATAAAACAAGTATCATCCAAACTTTCAAAGTCAATAAGAATGATAAACAGAGTAAAATCATTTTTGCCAAAAAACTGTTTGAATCTTCTGTATAATTCCCTGTGCATTCCGTTAATAAACTACTGCAACATTGTATGGGCTTCATCGTACCACACATCAACCTTACCAATAGAAACATTAATCAAAAGAGCAGTTAGATTGATAACGAGATCCAAACGATTTGAACACAGCCAACCATTGTTCAACAGCACGCGAAACTTGAATTTCTCGAAACTCAGCATTTACTTTCTGATGATTTTTGTTTATAAGCAGTTGACCAATCGATTACCTGATTTATTTAACAGTTATTTCAAGATGAAACAACAATGTCGGCAACAAAATAATCTTGTCTCTAACAAATCGAAAACGAATATTTTGTTCTCTCACGTTTATTGCAAGGGACCGAGAATCTGGAACGAAATTTTAAACAGTGGATTTAATTTTGAATTTATTTTGTTAAACAATTTTAAAAAAAAGTTAAAAGAATATTTACTTAAGTTTAAAACATAAATTTTTTGTTTTTGAAATTACGTTTAAATTCTGTTGAAAACTAATAACATTTTAAAAATTATGTCAAGGTGGTCACACTCGATGAGTTTCTGAAAAGAACTCTACTGTGGTCATCCTGTCTTCTTCCTATTGATATAAAGGGGAGAGAATTCTTTTTTTCTCTTTTTTTAGATTAATTTTGAGAAGCAAATAAAATTCGTTCGTTCGTTCGTTCGTTCGTTCGTTCGTTCGTTCGTTCGTTCGTTCGTTCGTTCGTTCGTTCGTTCGTTCGTTCGTATGTATGTATGTATGTATGTATGTATGTATGTATGTATGTATGTATGTATGTATGTATGTATGTATGTATGTATGTATGTATGTATGTATGTATGTATGTATGTATGTATGTATGTATGTATGTATGTATGTATGTATGTATGTATGTATGTATGTATGTATGTATGTATGTATGTATGTATGTATGTATGTATGTATGTATGTATGTATGTATGTATGTATGTATGTATGTATTTATGTATTTATGTATGTATGTATGTATTATTATTATTATTATTAATGAAAAATTTAATAAAGCGCTAATTCAAAGGATCTCAAAAGCGCTATCAAAAAAATATCATGGCCTAATCAACATAAATAGTTATCAGTGCATTTCAACAAAAAAAAATTTTAAGAAAAAAAAACACAGTTTTCATTATTTCCTTAATCTAACATCGCACAATAAACTATATAAATCACCCAGTTATAACTAAAACAAGTCAGTTCGATGAATTACAACGAAAATAAGTAAGTTTTCAGTTTTCTTTTAAAATCAGGCAGGTTCAACTCCGGATCTCTTAGAAAGGCAGGCAAATTGTTCCAAACAGACGGTCCCAAGACGGCGATGTTACGAGACCCCATATGAAAACACGAAACTGGGACTAGCAGCAGGTTCAGATCATGAGACCTCAGATGCGTTCCAGAAAGAGGTGCCAACTTCTTTACAAACATTTCCGACAAATAAGGTGGTGCAAGACGATTTATTGACTTGTAGACTAGAGTTGATATTTTGAAGATTATTCTTTTTTTTACGGTTAGCCAGTGCAGTTGTTTCAGTATTGGTGATACGTGATCATATTTTAAACCGCCGACAACAACCTTTGCAGCACGATTCTGCAATGACTGAAATACAGCTAAATGTTTATCAGGTAATTCGTAAAACAGGCTATTACAATAATCAATTCGTGAGTGCACGAAGGCATGAACCAGAGTCTGCAACGTAGTAGTTTCAAGAGATTTACGTATTTGATTGAGCTTTCTTATTTGGTACATGCATTCAACAGAAAGCATTCTAATGTGATCTTTCATTGACAGATTGGAATCTAGAATAAATCCCAGACTAGTAGCTGTTTGGCAAAACGGGATGACACTGTTTTTGATAATGATTGAATCAGTTTCTAGCTTCATAAGCTGTTGCCACGTACCTACCGACAAAAATTTCGTTTTACTCTGATTCAGTTTAAAAGCATTGTTTTGCATCCAAAAATCAACCTTTGATAAACATTCAACCAATCTGTCCAATTCGGCCTGGAAAGTACCGGGCTTACTGGTAACAATGATTTGTATGTCATCCGCAAATGCATGATATGAGAAACCAAATGATTCGACCACTTTGAATACCTCAGATGTATACAGAAGAAACATGACAGGACCCAGAACCGAGCCTTGGGGCACACCAGACAAAACTATATTGACCTCGAACACTTTACCACCAAATGATACTTGCTGAGTTCTACCAACCAAATACGATTCAAACCACCTTAACACAGCACCAGAAAATCCAAAAGTAACACACAATCTCTCTAAAAGTATTTTGTGATTTACACAATCGAATGCGGTTGACATATCGAGGAACACCATCATAGACGTCTTCTGTTGATCGATAGCCCCATAGACATCAAACAGAACCTTTAATAGAGCCGTTTCAGTTGAATGGTATTGCCTGAAACCTGATTGATAAATCGGCATTAAATGATTATTCTCTAGGTGAGTGAGTATCTGTTTAACAACCACACGTTCAATTATTTTAGATATGAAAGACAGATTGGATATCGGTCTATAGTTTTCAACATTATTCTCATCAAGATTGTGTTTTTTTAGTAGTGGAGTTATTATAGCATGTTTACAAGCAGAGGGAAATTTACTTTGATTTAAACACATATTGACAAGGCATGTCAAAAATGACGAAAATAGATTAATAAACTTTTTGAGTATGTGAGTCGGTATTGCATCTTGTTGAGAAGACTTTGTTGGTGAATTTTTTACTATGTTAATTATATCTTCCTCAGAAACATCTGAAAATGTTGCGAACAAATTTTGTATGTATGTATGTATGTATGTATGTATGTATGTATGTATGTATGTATGTATGTATGTATGTATGTATGTATGTATGTATGTATGTATGTATGTATGTATGTATGTATGTATGTATGTATGTATGAATGATGTAGGTTTAATATGGCGACCAGGACAGTTGTAATTAATGAAGTCCTGTATTTTTTGAAAAATAAGTTTGGTTTATTTGATGATGAAAACTTTGTTAATAATGATTCGGAATTTTATACAAATGACGACATTGTTGGAGCTTTAAAAATATTAAAAAATGAAATGGAAGTCAATAAAAGTGAAAAACACGACAAAATTATACCTCGTGGAACGACTAAAAAAGAAAGGTTACAAGATTGCATTGCTATTTTAAAACATCTAAAATTATCAGATTTGATGGACAAATGTCCGATTTTTGTCAGTAGTGACCTGGAAAAAATTCCAGATATGGAAAGTTTGATTAAATTAAATTTTGAAAGTTTAAAGCGAGAAATTACCGACATATTGCACAGCCATGGCAGCGCGTGCTTAATACCTTAGAGGTGCACAACAAGGAAATTTGCGCGGTAAAAAACACCGTTAATAATATAGCGCTGAACTACGATAAAACGACATATTATAATCACCACAACAAACTGCTTTCAAACTCGAATCCCTTAGGACGAAGTAGCAAAATGCATCATTGTAGCTACGCTGACAAAGTTTCATCGAATTTATTAATATCTGGCATTAAAACATCACATTGTAATGAAGTTGAAAAAAGTATAGCGCCAAAGTTACTTGAGAAGTCAAGCGATTTAATTATTGACGTAAATAATCAAAATTTCAACCCTGGAAACCTGTGGTCAGATGCCGAGAAAACACCAGTGGATGATGGGTTTAGAGAGTACATTTCCAGAAATAAAAAATGAGCCAGACTAAACAACTCATCTGAAGATAATAATGAAATAAAATCAAGTGGTACCACCAGTAACACAGGCAATGTTAACGCATCCATTCCAAAACCAATTAAAAAAATTATTGGCATCAAAGTAATCGACAACTGCAAACTTCAGGCCGAAAAAAACCTTATAAAAAAGACCGTTTTCTTGATGAGCAACGTAAAAAGATGTCACAGAAATGATGTCATAGATTTTCTTAAAACAAGTGGCATAAACGTCATCTCTTGTTTTCCGGTGATAAAACGTTCTAATCAGGATATAAGCGATCCAGTAAACAAGGATGAGGAAGAATCAACGATGTTTCGTGTATGTGTCGAAAGTTGCGATGGACCGAAGATGAAGGACCCGGAAATTATGTTAAAACACATCATTGTACGCGAATGGCCTTTCGGGAAAAACACCAACAAAAACTCTGATACAACGAACAAACATGGCTGACAAAAATTCGTTAAATACTGTTAACGACACTCGCAGCAATGTCGTAGATAAAACCTGCAGACTATATGACGATATAAATCAAATAAATGCTTTGTATAACTCCATCAGCGACAACGGAATTAACGACAATTTGTTTTTCAAACCAATGCATTTAAACATTAGAAGTTTAGTTCACAAATCAGAAGACTTACTCGATTATTTAAACAACTTTTCTTTTAAATATAACATTATTGGTATAAGTGAAACGTGGCTGAATGATGACAATATCAAGTTAATAAATATTACTGGTTATGATTTTGTTGGTAAAAATCGGTCTGGTAAGCACGGTGGTGGAATCGGTTTGTATATTGATAACGATATTACGTATAAAACAAGAGACGACATCAATAGCATTAGCAGCATAAAATTATTCAGCATAGAAATAACAAACGATTGTTCCAATAAAAATGCAATAATTGTAATAACACATCGGCCTCCTACCTATGACGCAAATATGTATTTTCAACAAATCGAACAGGTACTACAAATCATAAGTCTAGAGAACAAATTAGTTTATCTGATCGGTGACATGAACATCAATTTACTTGATGCTGATTCAAATGCCAGAAAATTCCAACTTCAACAATTATTAACATCATACAACCTATCAACTTTAATAACAACCCCAACAAGAATAAGTTTAAATAAAAATTCAGTCATTGATAAAATTTTCACGAGCGAACCAAATGCAGTAGAATTATGTGGTACACAGGTATGTGATCTTTCGGACCACCTACCAATTTTTATAATTGTAAATATGAAGTCTAACAGAATCAAGTACCATTTTCTGAAGGAGAAATTATACTCGTTTACAAGTGAACGAATCAACAGACTGAACGAATATTTAATAAACATGGACTGGTCAAACGTTTTAAACTGTGAGGATGTAAATGTCGGGTTTCAACGATTCATAGAGATTTTTGTAAAGAACTTTAACGAATGCTGTCGTGTTTCATCAAGTAAGAAAAATTAAAAAAATATCACGTGATAAACCTTGGATAACTGATGATTTTAAAATAATGTTAAATAGAAAAACCAAACTGTATACAAAATATCTAAAAAATCCGAATATTGAAAATCTGATTGAATTAAAGTCAATTAGACAATCTTGCATCAAATTTAAAAATAAACTAAAAAAACAATACTACAGCGACATCATAGAAAAGAACATAAAAGATAACAGAAGAACGTGGTCAATTATTAAGAACATTATCAGCACAAATAAAATCACCAATACCGTCACATCAAACAGTGAAATTGTTCGTTCTCCTGCGGACACCTTAAACGATTATTTCATCGGTATGGCTATAAAACTATTCAACAATTCAACACTCTGGAAAAATCATCTCACTAATAAACTTCAAAACTCGTTCTTCTGTCTGTCGACCTCAAGCGATGAAATAATTGCAACAACCAGACTTCTCAAACCAAAAACAACCAGTGGATGGGATGGCATTCTTATGAAAATAATAAAATCTACTATACATTCAACAGCTCACATTTTGGAATTCCTAATTAACCTTTCTTCCGGCACATTCCCACGATGTTTCAAAGTCTCAAAAATTGTACCGATTAAAAAGGATGAGGGATGCAATGATTTAACTAATTTTCGACCCGTTGCTCTTTTACCAAATTTTTCGAAAATAATAGAAAAAATAATGTACAAAAGGCTAAATATCTTCTTCAAAAAAAATTCCATAATTAACGATTCACAATTTGGATTTCGAGAGAAGTACTCGACTGAGCTGGCAATAATAGAATTGATCAGAAAAATAGGGATCGCAGCAGAAGACAAAAAATACATCGTAGGCACGTGCCTTGATCTCTCGAAGGCATTCGATTGCATCAACCACAACATCTTGCTGGCGAAACAAGACCATTATGGAATACGTGGCTCGCAACTGAAATGGTTCAGAAGTTACTTATCGGAGAGAAGTCAATTTGTTAGCAGGCAAGGTACATGCTCGAGCGAAAAATTAAACCAAATTGGAGTACCTCAGGGCAGCATTTTGGGACCATTGCTATTCATTGTCTTCATCAACGATCTCCCGAAAGTTTCAAAATTCTTTGATTACATTTGCTTCGCAGATGACACTAATCTATTCAGTACAGGCAAAAACATCGATGAACTCATCTTGAAGACTAATAGTGAAATTAAAAAGGTCGTCTCATGGTTTGAATGTAATGTGTTGACATTGAATAGCAGAAAAACACAAATGATTATTTTTGGCCCAGTCCAATATTTAAACTACAAGGAGCCATATAAGATCGTAATAAATAATTCGGATATTCTCGAAAGCAAAACTGTTAAATTTTTAGGAGTAATATTGGATCAAAAATTATCGTTTCAACAACATGTTCGATATGTTTGCACAAAACTAGCAAGATCAATTGGTCTAATAAATAAAATAAAATTTTTCTTGCCTAAAAAAATTCTTAACATGCTATATAAAGCCATCTGTACTCCATATATCTCATACTGCAATACAGTCTGGTCAAGCGCCTATCCATTTACAACAAATCCAATAAGAATAATCATGAAGAGAGCGATGCGAACAATCACACTTTCCAAAGCTCAATCCCATTCACAACCGCTATTCGCCACGACAAGCAATCTGACTTTCGATCAAATGAGTACATATCACGCGGCAAAATTCATCGACAAACAATTGACTGGTAAACTACCTCCGATTTTTGACGGTTATTATAAACGAACGAAGAATCAACGGCGCATCAATTTCATCTGTTCCAACAAATCAAAAACGAAAATTTTACATTAACACATCATTTGCAGAGGACCCAGAATTTGAATTTTTCATTAAATAAAGGATTTAATTATGACAGATCGAACATGCAGAACTTTAACCATCATTTGAAAGCATTTATTAACTTGATTAATAAAAATCACTAGTTTTAAGAATATAAATTACATTTTTATAAAATATTTATGACATCATGTATGCTCAGTTGTATGTATGTGTGTGTGCTGACGTATACGTAGATATTTTTATATACGTATGTGATCCTATTCTCTTCTATCTATAGCTTATATAGATAGATTTAATCAGGTATTCTATATACAGTTTTGTATATAGAGAAATATAGACCTAACTTATTATTAGGATCAATTAGTAACATCTCAAAGCTAATACATTCCATTTAGAGAATCTGAAGTTTTTTGTGGTGCACGATGATAATATTTTTATGAACAGTTAGTAACACCGTAAATATAATATACACCAATTAGAGAATCTGAAGTTTTTTGTGGTACTCGATAATTTTATTTTTACGAACAACTAGTAACACCGTAAATTTAATATATAACATTTAGAGATTCTGAAGTTTTTTGTTTGATGGCTGTGCCCGATGATTTTGTTTTTGTGATCAATTAGTAACATCTGAAGGTTAACATATTTCATTTAGAGATTCTGAAGTTTTAGGTTTAGGTGGCTGTGCTCGATGAGTTTTATACTAACTCCTCACAGTCAACCTGCACCTTATTTTCTTTATTGAGGTCAAATAAATTATTTCGTTTCGTTTCGTTTCCTATGCATGTTAAAACCAAAACATGATGAGTGACACTGAACCGTCAAACATCAAGTAACAAATGGATTAACACTTTGATTTGTCGTTAATTGTACATGTCGGCATTCAGATGGATATTTTCAAGCACACAGACACGCAGGAACCGCTGCAACAAGCACGAAATGTGGTTAGTTGCGAAAAACAGTTCCCTGCTGTCGCCTGATCTGACGCTGATCATTTTACATATTGCCTTAAGAAATTTAAGGGTGTTGGGGTCCATCGGGCCGAGAACCTCGATACATATTGGCAAGAATTCCATCGAGGGGAGGGCGTTCCCATATTTTTTCATTTTCTCGTCCGCTGCCCTGGCCGCAGCCAAACCACATTCTTTACTTGTTAGGTTTACATATCGTTCGGCAAGGGTGCCAGGGACCGTAACATTTCACGCCAAAAATCTGCCGGCTCTCCAAGGTATTAGTGTGCATCTGTCCGGGCGCCTACCATCATGCGCAGAAATGCCGGATGGTTCCTTGAGAACCGGGATTGAAGCCTTGGAGAAGAGCCTACAAATGTATTCGTTTAGCGCTGAGTGACGTAGTTGACGGCCCCCACCCAGGCGACAAACCAAACCGTGGTGCCCAAACTAGTCCGCCCCAGCGCCACATAGGCACGTGTATTTATTTTGAATGACCAGGCCAAGTCTGAAGCTAATGGCAAATCTCACAGACTCGTCGTCTAGCCTGGTGCCCACAGAAGTGTTGGGCCACGATCTCAACCACCCACAGCTGGCAACGCTGGACATGGCTAACAAACGAGCGGTGGAAAAGTCGTCGCCGCATGAAGACAACAAATTTTGAAAGATCTTTTTATATTCTTCGTTCAAAATTTGGACGTGCGTACGGTCTCCCGGGGCAGACACTGGGGGAAGAATATCGCGGCAACAAAAAAACCAGTAGAGCAAGGAAGACTGCAGGTCAAGAGTGGCAGCGGCAGAAGAATTATAAACAACTGGAGCTAGCTGAACCACGCTAAGCAACCCCAGCCCACCAAATCGCACCGGCAGCTGAGCCTGGGACCAACTACTGTCGGTCACTTGAACATTTCAAATCGACGACAGGGCGGTGAGCAGGGTTCTGTCAAATTTGCCCAATTTAGAAAGATCAATGTGTTTGGATGTACGCAGGAAGTACACCAATTTGGGCAAACTGAGGGCATTGCGGATAATAGTCAAGGCATCATGGGCCAAAAGACAGGAAACACGACCCAGGGCGAATTTAAGATCAGAGAGCTTTTGGTCAAAAAACTTTATTTGATAATCGCCCTCGACCAAGGGTGTGCCTAAAAAACTAAGTTCTGATGCACCAACTCTGGGTAATCCAGCCAGCGCATGTGGCACCTGAAATAAACTTTGGCAGTGAAGTTCGCATTTTTTAATGTTTAACTCTAAACCAATTGCAGCGGAGTTATGCTTCAAATATTCGTAGCTATCGGCCAGAGTTGGGCCGTCCGAAGCTATGCTGATATCATCCAGATAAGCGCAAACGAATGAGGACGAAGCTTTCTCTAAGAGTGGATGAAGAGTTAGTGCGAACAGCAAAGCACCAAGGGGATCACCCTGCTGTACCCCCTCGGACGATTCTACAACCCAAAAGTGGTAGCCAAGGAAAGAGACTCCACCATAGACAGACTGGCAAAAATTATAGATATTGGGGCAAAAAAGTTTGACAGCCTCCAACATCGAGTCTCTTCTCAAGGCGTTGAAGGCATTTTTAAAATCCAGTCACATAAACCCCCATTGATCGGAAAGGTCGGTGACCAATCTTCAAACCGTATGAACAGCGGCCTCAGCGCCACCCTTAATCCCGACACCCAACTGAGTCGGGTAGAATTTGGTCTTGAGTTCGGTCTGACCCCTCCGTCTTTCTTATTTAAAGCTATTAGCCGGCCTCCAAAAAAGAACCGGTGGACGGAGAGTGGGCAAGCTCCAGATAGGATCAAATTAATGAATTGGGTTAAGGAGTTTAGTGTGTCATCAATTGGCAAGGGGCCTGAAAAAACATCTTTAAGGTGCTGAGGTCGTAGGCCATCCAGGCCTCCAGAAGAACCACCTCGGCGGGAGAAACGCAACCAGCCGTTGGTGTCAATGCGGGGAAGACCCGCCTGTCCACCGGAATTTTTGGGTGGATGGAACATAATTTATCAAAAGTGGCTGGCAAGCTCTCCGCCAGGCCCTCCGGCGAACAGACAAGTCTGACAGCCGAGGACAGGTTTCCCTGTTCAATACAAGATGACACAGCGTTGATCCACCGATCGGGGTTGTGCTTTTGTGATTTGGCATTATTGAACCCATCAAAGCACAGTACCAGGGTTTCAAGACCAATAGTTGAATATTCGCTTAGACGCTTGTTGACCAGATTGCCCTGGTTGACTCGGCGAACCCTCTGGAAGTCTTCTGTAAAACGTATGGAACAAAACAGTGGAGTCTAACCCAGTGAGCCGGGTCACCAGGGTCATTACAAACAGCCGTCAGCAAGGCGTTCAGATCATGTGCGAACTTCTCCCTGCATGGCTTAGGAATATGGTCGTACACCGGTACACATTTCAGCACGGCCGTCAGCTTGTCAAAAACACCAGAGTAATCCAGGTCGAGAGGATCACCAGAGACCGATGCGGCCGTCGACCTTGTGGACAACCTAGGCTTGGGGTCGGGTGCGGCATCGAGAGGCGAAGCAGCCCTCGCGCCCGATGGATCAACTTTTTTCCGGGACCCCGAGCATTCCTGTCCTTTCACTTTACCTCCGTGCCGACATAACTTTCCGTCTGGAGTGGTTAAAGCAGACGGGGCACTGTTGTAACGTTGGAGCCATATGTGATTAAAACAACCAAAAAACGAAGGAAAGGAAACAAACCAAGTGGGGTGAATGGATGAATGAATAGATGAACAAGCGAATGACCAATTGAACGGGCCAGCAACCAAACGAATGAATGAGTGAATGATGAAGGAATGAATGAGTTGTAGTGAACTTTTTTTTAAAATGTAGTGAACTTTCCGATAATAATAAAACAGCTCACACCTGGCGCAGGCCTGTGAATAAATTATAATATTGATAAAAAAACAAAAAACGAGAAAATTGGCCGAGGCAGGGCAGAAAAACGATAAAAAATGACGGAAAAACAAACCCGGGACAAAATTACAGCTGACGACCCCAAAAATTATATGTAAGACAAGTTAAAATCAATAAATTTTACATAATTATCCAGAAAATTAAAACAATCCAGCCGGCTTTGAATGTGAACAAACGAAGTTTGTATGTATGTATGTATGTATGTATGCATGTATGTATGTATATATGTATGTATATATATATGTGTGTGTGTGTGTTTGTGTATGTGTGTTTGTGTATGTAGATAGAATTATCTATGCTCATCATGGAAATTTAATGAAACTGTTGTTATCCAAATTTATCATGCAGATAAGGCTTTATTTCGATTTTTCATAAATTATCTTCAGTGCATGTTTGGTTTATATAGTTCTTTTAAACAAAACAAAGTACTTTAGCACAGTCATTAGTTGGTGTGATATTTTTCATTTTTGTTGTTGTCATTCCTTTGTTCTTCATTGTTTTTGAAGTTAGTATTTTGAAAATTAAGAAGACAAATTTTAAATTGATCAATGCAAACAATTCGGTAGCGAAAATAAGTAAGTTTTAAGTTTCTTTTTAAAATCATCAAGTTTCAAATCTTGAGTTCTAAAAGATCTCGGTAAGCTGTTCCGAACCATTGGTCCAGATACTGCAAAATCTCTTGATGCTATCTGCAAATTGACATCAGGTACAACCAGCAAAATGCCATAATCTGATCTAAGGTTCATACCACTCATCATTATAGACTTTTCTTTTATTTTATCTATCAAATAACTTGGTAACAAGCCATGCACAGTTTTATACATTAAAATACATATTTTATATTTAATTCTTTTCTTTATAGTAAGCCAATGAAGGCCCTTAAGAATTGGCGTAACATGATTAAATTTGAGACCTCCAACAATCAATTTGGCTGCTCTATTCTGAATAGATTGAATTGCAAAAATAGACCTATCTGGCAAACCGTAAAATAGACCATTGCAATAGTCCAATCGTAAATGAACCAATGCATGCACCAAGGTATGAATAGCAGATTTATCTAATGACCTACGGAGTTTATAGAGTTCTCGAATCTGTCCGGAACATGAATTTGTTATCATCTTTATATGATCATGCATCGATAATCTAGAATCAAGAATGAAACCCAGATTAGTTGCTTTGTCACTAAATTCTATTTTAACATCTCCTATTTTCACTGAATCGATATTAAGTTTCATCAGCTGCTGCCATGTACCTATTGAAACAAATTTTGACTTCTGCTGATTTAATCTAAGACCATTGTTTGACATCCAATTTTCAATGTTATTTCGGCAGGTTACAAATTTGTTGATTTCAGATTGCAGTAATTCTGGCTTATTACTAACTATAATCTGAATATCATCAGCATAGGCATGATATTTAAAACCGAAATTACCAATTACTTTAAAAACTTCAGCGGTATACATGATAAAAAGAATAGGCCCAAGCACTGAACCTTGTGGCACTCCTGATGTCAAAACCGTTTCATTAGATAACACATTATTGAAAACTACCTGTTGCTTCCTGTCAAACAGATATGATCTGAACCACTTGATAACAGTACCAGAAATACCATAACAATGAGCCAATTTTTCCAAGAGAATCTGATGGTCTACACAATCAAATGCCGCACTCATATCTAAAAACGTGATAGAGCCACATGTTGTTTGTCCAAAGCAGCAAACAACTCAGAAGACACATAAAGCAGTGCAGTTTCTGTTGAATGATAGCGGCGATATCCAGATTGGTGAACTGGTAGCAGGTTGTTTACATTCAAATGATTCAAGAGCTGTTTGGCAACCACTCGTTCAAATATCATGGAAATGAAACAGATGTTGGAAATTGGTCTATAACTAGACAAATCATTTCGATCCATATTCACTTTTTTTAACACTGGATAAACCATAGCATGCTTACAACCATTAGGAAATGTGCCACTGCTCAGACTCAGATTTAAGATGCTGGTAGGAAAAACGATGAATAAATCAATATATTTCTTTAAAATATGGGTCGGAAAGACATCTATCATACATGTTTTTGATGGCAAACTGAGTACAATTTTTTTAACGTCAGATTCTGTTAAAAGCATAAAGTCAGGAAAAGAACAATTCCCATTGTACTGAGCTTGACAAATAGTCGGACAATTACTCACATTGGTAGACTGTTTAATTTTATTTACTTTATCATTAACAAACTTTAAGAATTGAGACGAATCTAAACCAACAATTTCACTCGATGACTGACCAGTGACCTGATTACAAAGAACTTTATTATTAACATTCCATAGATTTTTAGAAGATCCACTATTGTCTGCTACAAGTCTTTTCCAATAACTGTTTCTTTTTTGTGAAAAAAGCCTAGATTTATTTTTCAGAGCTGCTATCCACTCATTTTTACATTTCTCTGTCTGATATTTTCTGTAATTCCTTTCTTTCTTTTGACAAAGTCTTTTGAAAGATTTACATTCACCATCATACCACGGAGCATTAACATCACATCTGACTTCTACAAAACGAAGTGGAGCAACTGCAACAGCCAATTTTTTGAGTTCAGAACTTATCATATCAAACTCAATATTAATATTATTGCTTTGGCAAGACCTTGATAATGAAGAAGTCTGTATATATTTAATGAGATTGCTTTCATTTAGGTATTTCCAGGATCTAACTTATTTCTTGACTATTTTAGGATGCTTATGAGTTAATGGTATGTTAACCTGAATTAAACTATGGTCTGAAAAAGTCCCACTGGGAAAAATCTTAATATCTGAAATATGAAAATCTTGAGAACAAATAATCAGATCAAGAATACCTCCATGTTCATGAGTCGGTTCGTCGATCAAATTTTTTAATTGAAACATTTCTAATATTTCCAATAAATTTACAGTATGACGATCTTCCTGTTTCTCAAGGTGAATGTTAAAATCGCCCAAAAGTATGGTATTTAAACTAAAAGAAGTGATATTTTCTAGTAAACATAAAAATTCTTCAAAAAATAAATTACTAAATAAAACTGATCCTGGCCTGTAGAGGGAAAATAGAACAAAATCTTTGTAGCTAATAAATAATTTAACAGCAAGTGCTTCAAATGAACTAAATATTGGCAGATCTATTTTCTTAAACTTAAATTCATTACTGAAGTAAATAATTAAAAATCATCATAACTATATCCTGGTGGCATTGATGATTTAACAGAAATGTTATTCGAAGATCCGTGCCAAGTTTCGACTAAAACGAAAATATCTAGCCCATCATGAATCAAATCATAGATTGTATCAGTTTTAGAAATCAATGATCTAATGTTCAATAAACCTGGTGTTAAATTACGATTTATTATGTTGCAGTCTTTATCATTGTTATCATTTATTTCTAAATTCTTGACATATTTAATATTAACACTGGTTTTTTCTGTATTTTTACAATCTTCCATCTCCCTACCTGTCCTCTCACTCTGAACAAAAAATTTTGATTGTTTTCTTCTCACCCCATAACTTTAGCTTTATCAACAAATGATTTGAATTCCTGCCTCTGATCCTTTGTTAAATCATAGTTCAGTCCAACATGTGAAAATTCTTTTAACGACTTGAATTTATATACATTTCTCATTATTGAGTCTCTGAGTAAAACGCAATCTAACTTTATCAAAATGGGTCTAACGACAGTTTCGCATTTCCTTCCCAGTCTCATTATTTTGATTACATTTTTTTCAGAAACATCTCCTGTCAAATGCTTTAAAATTTTCAAAACGTTGGAACGATCATCATCACTTTCAGCTAAACGAAACATCAATAAATTTGTTTCTCTTTAACGTCACTAGCTTCTTGTAAAGTTTTCTGGATTGATTTGACATCACTTCTAATTACTTCAACATTCAATTTAACTTCCTTGCTGACAATGCTAGAAAATGTTTCTTTTATTTCGTTTTTAAAAATTTTAATTTCCTCACGTAAAACAGTATCGAAACGATCATGTTCATCAAGTTTAGATTGGTTATGGTCAACAACCATTTTTATGCTATCAACGTCAAGTTTTATTTTTCTGTTACTATCATTTATTTCATTTAGTTGAGCAACAAATTCATTTTTAGACGCATCCATTGACTTAGCTAAAGAACTAACATCTTGAGACAAACCAACACAGCGTTGACAAAACCATTTTAAACCTTTAACACTTTTCAAAATTTCAAGAATATCATCGTTAGTTTCACATTTATTGTGAACAAAAGTCTTGCAACAAGTGCATGACAACACATCTTTACTTGGAACTTTTATTGTACACTTCGTACAACAGTAGCGACTACCGGACGACATTATTGAATTTATTATTACAATTAATTACGCTTACTATCAGGGAAATTCCTATCACGTGACAGCAATTTACAGACAATATATTATCAAATTTCACTAAAATAATGAATTTTACAAACTAAATTTTATATAAAATTATTCAAAAATCTAATTATGTTAATCTATCCAAAAAAATATCAATAAACGATTACTTTTAACGACGAAAACACCAAAATTAACTGACGAAACGACAATATCAACCGTCCAAACGACTGTCCAAAACAATGTATGTATATATATATATATATATATATATATATATATATATATATATATATATATATATTTGTGTTTGTGTTCCGATGGATGTATGAGTGGTATGAGTGTATAGATAGATGTATGTTTTGCTAGGTGGTTAAAT